ATTAGTCAATAATCCCTAAAGAATCTGCTTCATTTGAAGAGGGTCAAGTGCTTGGGGAAGAGAGAGGATGGGAGAAGACAAGTCAAGGAAGGAAGGAGGGTAGTCCCAGTGGAATGTAAAAAGAGATAGAGGCACTTTGAGGCACACACATCTGCACTGTTACAGGACCATTGACCAAGTGGGTCTAACAAAAGATGATCCTGCAGGATGAGTGAGGAGTGACATGCAGAGATTTCATTACATACATAGGAGAACAGAGAAATGCAGAGATTAGGAATGTTTAAGTGACTATTGGAATCAACCCAGGCTCCTTTGGGAACCTCAGGCTTATCCTATTATAGCACTCAAACCCGACATTTATCCTGATATGGGACGCTACAGTTCTGTGTGTTGTCTGTGAGCCCCCTTTAGCTGCTGGATCTTTTGGGGCAGGGTCTTGGTCCAGAACTGCAGTCTTCCAGCCTTCAGAGAATGGCCCACAGTAGGCTGGATGTCCAGTTGCAGGTACTGCTCATCCTGGTCCAACACGGGCCAGTAGGGTAGGCCATCGCTGTTGGGGTTCCTGTGGATATGCCCCCACAGGGAGGGTTGAAGTTCACTCTGATCCAAAGCCCGACAATCTGATTTGGGCAGGGTACTGGGCTTGAGGGGTCTGACAGACAGGTATCCCCATTAAGGAAACAAGACTAGTGTATGTTCCATGAAAGACAAAGCTATTAGTGTCCTCTCTTCCTAACTCTCAGAGGAAAGATGTAAAGAGCAGGACCAAAGCACCATGACCCACTGGCCAGGTCATGGAGGAATATCCAGAGGATGACACCTACAATGTGTCAAAGCATGCCCTAGAGTGGAGACAACCCTATCATGTGATGAAGGACTCATCATGCATGCTAATGAAACCACAAATGGAGACCTGGATGGGGACCAATCCCTGAGGAGTTAAGGATGGGGCATGCTCTCACCCATTTCTTGCAAAGTTGGCCCAGTACTTCATCATCCTACTGCTCAGCAGCTTCTCCTCCTCAGTGAGGTCAACTGTAGACATGAGAAAGACAAAGGTCCAAGTTCTTGCCACCTCATGAGGTGCCCACTCATGCTCCAGAGTCACCTCCCCAACTGTAGCCTGACCCTGAATTTCTGGTCTGATTCCCTCCCTCCCTACACATCAGGATTTAGTATCCATCTTAGAGCCTCTAATTCAATTCCCCTAGATTCTTACCTCCTCCAATGTGCCCTCGCGTCCTTTTTCATAGAATAGACTAAGAAGGGTGCAGATTCTAACCCTCATAGATTTTTGAGCTTGGAGGTATTGTGTACTTGATCTTGTCCTAGCCCAGAGTCTTGGTTCCCTGACCTGGACTGAGAGTGCAGACATCCCTCAGGTACCCATCTGGGAGCCCATTAGCTCAAGGAAAACAGGGAAGACTCACGTTTGATGCCCCCGAGGTAGGACCCAAAGACAAAAAGAATCTCATCGCCATGATCAGCTATCACGTGAGATGGTCTGACATTCTTCAGGCTAGTAGGCGTATGCTGGAACTCATAGAAGTGTACTGGAGCACGGGAACCTAGGGACAAAGACACATGGTGCCACAGTGGCCCATTGCCTGGAGCTGTCTTGCCACACATTTGGTGACAGCATCCCTTGGTATAAAGTTATCTCAATTCACATTTGAGTATGGGGGCCCAGGCTAGAGCACTAGCTGTGTTGAATTTCTTGATTAAATGGTGACCCTGTCACTTACAACTGAGTGTCAGTAACTTGTTTTCTAATTTGTGCCTGGATAAGGTGTCACTCTCTTAGACATAAGGATTTACTGAAAATATGTCCTCAAGTGCCAAAGGCCTGATGTAGACATTAGTTTTGAGCTAGACACCACAGATCTCACCTGGGACCCACAGATGTGAGATGGCGCCAGGCCTCATTGCATATGTACTCACGCTGAAAATGTGCCACTTGGAGTGCGGGTATCACGAACATGAAGTCTGCCATCATCTCTCTGTACTGTAGTTGGAGGGTCTGGGCATCCTCCGTGTTTCCCATGTACTCCTTCATTAGCAGGTCACCACTCTCTGAAGGTAACCCCTACACCATAAAGAATGTGGTTAGAGGTTCCACTGTAGATGTGTCACTCAGGGCTGGGCATCTCTCAAACATATATTCCCTGTGTGTGACCAGCTGGACCAGTACTCTACAGCAGCTTTCAAAGAGAAGCTTCTTTGATGAGTGGTGTAAGGTATACTTGTCCATTAAATATAAGGATTCATATTTAACATATGGCAAGAAATTTCATTTGTCTAGAGATATGACAGAGATAGGGTTTTCTCTGGGATCCATGACCTCTCCAGCCATGTGTATTTGGCTATATCTGCACTGCCACCTATGAGTTCCCTCCTACTGAGAGGCAGAGTAGATCTTCTTTAAGGGGGTGAATCTAGGTAGGCTGACTAGACTCCAGTGGATGAACTTCCACCAAAGGACATCTGGATAGAAGTGCTTGACCATATATGACAGAACACCTGAAATATGTTGCAGGGCCTGGGGCGGGGAAGGGGCAGGGATGGGGAAGGGGGCCTAAATTTAAGATGTACTATATGAAATGCACAAAAATTCAATAAACATACTAAAAATGAAACAAATAAAGAAGTTAGGCAGGCTCTTGGATAGGGAGACAACATCCTCAGGGAGAGGAAGTGGCTCTAGAATGAGACAGGGAATAAAGGAAAATGCTAAAGGTCTAGAGTGATCTCCACACAGAAACACACACATACAGTAAACTATTTCTGGGGGTGCTGTCTGAGAAGGGTATATGGGGAGCCTGTATTCATTTTCCAGGCTGAAAAGAGCATTTTCCTAGTCCCAAATGGATGCCTTTGACCCTAAATAACATATCGTACTGCGTGCTGTGTGTAGACTGGAATAAGTATGAAATTATAGTCATTTTCCTATTGTGCAGTGACGGCAGTCAAGATAGGGACCATTTTACCTGTATACTTTGAAAAGATCTCTCTCTCTCTTTCTCTCTCTCTCTCTCTCACTCTATCTCCCCCTGTGTGTATGTTCATGTTCACGTATGAATTTGGGGGTATGTGCCACAATTTGCATTTGAAGTTCAGAGTACAAACTTACTTCCCTGGTCTCACTTTCTACCTTTTTTGAGACAAGTTGTCATGTTGTTTAACTGATATTTGCAACCCCCTATCTGGACTGGACCCTTCCAGGATTTCTTCAGTGTCTCCCTCCCATCTTGACATAGTAACACTTTGATTACAGTTGTGTATTATCACATCCAGCCTTTCATGGGTTCTGGGGATTTGAACTCATGTTCTTAGGCTTGTATAGCAAGCAATTTACCCTCTGAACCATTTCTTCAGCCCATGCATAATTTCTGCCATGTTAGAAGATGTTAGGTGCTGATTTGGTAGTCAAATAACATACCCAGTACATATAAAGCAAAAGGGAGTAGACGCTCACACTTGAGTCTTTCATAAAATACTGGAGAAAAGCTATTTGTGGTGGTCTTTGTTTTCATCAATGAACAGAATACCAAAGTATCAGAGGTGGGGCTGAGGCTGCAGAGTCAGGACTGGGGTGGTTGATCGCACTTACCCTATACACCACCTCAAAGGTGTTAGAGAAAATGTCAGGTAGCAGGGCCACTCCACTCTCCATGATGGCACCATGGAAGAGTCCTTTGGACATGGGGGACACAAGAAGAGTAGATACACTTGTGCCACCTGCTGACGCTCCAAAAATGGTGACCCGGTCAGGGTTGCCTCCAAAGTGGGCAATATTCTGCTGGACCCAGCGTAGGGCGGCCAGTTGGTCCAGGTAGCCCCAGTTGCCTCTGGCGTGCTGGTCTCCAGTGCTGAGATGTGGCAAGAACAGAGATTATAGGCTTCCCTGGTTCTCTCAGCCCTTATTATCCAGCCCAAATCCCAGCTCACCTGAAGAAACCCAGGACACCAAGACGATACTGAATAAAGACCATCACCACGT